AGGACTCTGCTCTTTTATAGAGCTATCTTGCAGTTCTATATAATATATTAGCTACCTGGTGGAAGAGCTGTTAACTCCAATATGCTGTTGTTTGCTTGGTTAGTTGGAACAATGTTTTTTCCTCCTCTGCCATCTTTCAGTCTATAATATGATTGAAACTAGCAGTGTGTATGTGCCTAAATCCCCAGTGCTTGGTGCAGATACAGCTGTCTCTAAAAACGTACTATTTCTGTGTTCTGGAAAATAAGAGCATTTGGATGGGGATGGAAGTCTGACTGCAGTAACAGCATTAGGAATAATAGCTAATGCTATTCCAGGCTGCACCCAAAGCAGTCTAGTGTCCATATCAAGGAACGTATAGGCGCCAACTCCTAGGGGCCCAGATCCCTTTGCCCCACATAAAATATTTGGGCTCCCTCCCCCAAGCTGATGGGCATCATTGTCTTCCTTTTCCTTGTTTGGACTTCATTTTCCAACGAGCCCTGTAAATGAACTTGTAGAAGGGTTCCTGGATGGCAAGGGAGATGGGATTGGGCAAACACCTCTGACTTCATTTCTTATGGTCCTTGTGATTGGAGCTGGAAGGCCTGGGGGGGGGGAGTGAGCAGAGGAAATCCTCAACTTTAAAACAAGAAGAAACTGAGATTTGCATTCCCTGGCTCCTTCTGCAAAGTGTGTGTGTGTGTGTGTTGCACAAGTGAAGCTCCCATTGACAGTCCCAGTCCTCTCAGTTAACTCCCTCACAGAATCACTATTTCAACCACATAAGACACGCTGTAAGAGCCAGGGGTGGAGGGAGAGGAGGGACACTGCTCATAGCTTCACCATTTACTTTCAAGTTTCTTTTCTGCATTCCCTTCTTTCTCCTGCCCCCCATCCCGTATCACTGTCCTTGTCTAGTACCCCCCCCATTTCCCTTAAGTTGGTGCCTCTGAAGGGAAGTAAGTACCATTCAATTTTGCCTTGGTCAGACCACACCTGGAATCCTGTGTACAGTTCTGGGTGCCACTGTTTAAGAAGGATGTTGACAAGCTGGAATGTGTGCAGATGATAAAATGCCTGGAAACCGAGCCTTATGAGGAATGGTTGAAGGAGCTGGGTATGCTTAACCTGGGAAAGAGGCAACTGAGAGGAAATATGATTCCACTGCCAATTTGCAAAATACCCAGCCAGCGAGCATAAATTCATTTACAGATATTACAGGGATAATTATATTACATTACATTACAATATATTATATTATATTATATTATATTATATTATATTATATTATATTATATTATAATATTATATTATATTATATTATATTATATTATATTATATTATATTATATTATTAGCTTGCTATGGATGGGCTGGTGGCAGGGATGCCAACAAGATTTTCTGGGCCTCGTACACTGTATGTGGATTGGGCCCCTGCATCCTGCCTCTACCCCACCTCAACCTATTGACAAGAATGGCTACTTATGTACACATATTAACTTAGGCTAGCCTACCTCACATCATTGCCAAAACAAGATGACACCTGATTGGCTCTCTAAACACCCCTTTTTCTGGTTATTTGGCTATAACCTTTGATAGAATACAAATAACTGAACAAACGTTGTTGCATTACATTCTTCATTAGATTATCTTTCCATCGATATATACTTTTATGGTATTACTCCAAAACAAAGTGGTGTTATGAGCTATTAAACCTCGGAAATACACTTTCTCCAAAAGGTTTCCACAATTTTGGCCACTAGTGTACCCCTGTAAACAAAAGGGCTAGAATTATCACCATTTAAAAATAGGAAGCTGGAACATTCAGCAAAGTGACCTAGAATGTACCTGAGGGACGCAGGCTTCCACAATGGTGCCTCCCTGTCCGCTTCATGCCTATGGTCTTGGGGCATGGGCGTAGCCAGGATTTTTGTGTGTGGGGGAGCGGAAAGGCTTTCGTCATGCAGGCCTGATTTGGAAAGAGGCAACAGCGAGTGCTGCAAAAGGAAACTCTTGATTTTTTCTTTATGAAGCCTGAAAGTGAATGAGAACGCCAGTCTCCATAAGATTCCCTCACCCCACACAGCTATTCTTCTGAAGGCTAATTTACAACCATTGCTGCCTGATAAAAACCAATTCTTCACAAAGAGGCATTCTTTGAACGGCCTGCCTTGAGCCCTCAGGGGCTGGCTACTTCCCAGTCGGTTGCCGGACTCACAAGTAGCAGCAGCCTCACATTCTGCAGCTGCAAGTACAGTATACATTGTGCTCCTGTTGGAACAATGCTCAAAGGGGCACACATCTGGCAGGCTGGTTAGCCAACACAGTATTTAAACGATCTGGTCGGAAACATGGACCCATATGCTCAAACATTTCTCCGATGAAAATAGGAACGTCCTATTCCATCATCATCATAACAATATTTGTTTATTTATAACTTTCCCCTCTGGCTGGGTTGCTCCAGCCAACATATATAAAAACATAATAAAACTTCCCTATTCAGGGCTTTCTTCAGAGGTCTTCTAAAGGTTGTATAGTTATTAATCTCCTTGGCTTGGGGGTCACATAGCTCCACATCCTCCAACATTTCTCCGATGAAAATAGGGATGTCCTAAGAGAAAGTGAGACATTTCGGGATGAAATCAGAAACTGGGACAGCTTCTGTAAATCTGGGACTGTCCCTGGAAAAGAGGGACACTTGGAGGGTCTGTGAACGTTTTAGCATTCCCAACACCAAAACTACTTATTTCATAAATAATTAGCTTAATTTGCCTCTGTGTGTGCAAAAGTGGGGGCAGGGATATCCCATTCTTTTTCTAATTGTTCGCACAAAAGATGGAGCTGGCATTTTCGTTTGGTTAACCACCTACTTTTTTTGCCAGCTAAGTAATCAAACATAAACACAAAGAGGTCTGCCCCTCACCTACAACCTCACAGATTAACATTTTTTTTCTCACTGGGCGGTGCTTTTGCACCAGAAGGGTATGATACAAATGTTACGATGAATAAAAATAAAATTTCCTCCCACCAATTAACCAGCTAAGATATTATAAAGTTACACCATCAATAAGATTTTAACGTCAATATTGCTTAGGACAAATTTCAATGGAATGTCATTTGTTTGTTTTAACATATTTCCATATCAAATGCACAGAATTATACATTGAAATCTATCAGACAATGCAGAGCCGCAGAAATAAATGATGTAGGAAGAAGGATAGCTTTCTGGCCTAGAATGAATCAATGGGAGGATGACCCTGTTAAACTGATGTATTGGTGCAATGTTAAGTTTCCATGTTGATATTGTTGGGAGTTTGGGTGCGGGGGGAGGGGGTGGAAAGTCAACCCGTGTGCCGACTGTGTGCAGAATGCAAGTCTTAGGCATTTTTAGCAACCTCACAGAATAAGAAGCAAAGTCAAAGGACATCAATAAATATTGAATTAGAGTTCCAGTCTCTCCATTTTTTTATCTAATTACGGAGTGTTTGGAGACGTATGGTAATTAAGCAGTTAAGAGGACTATATTGAACACTGGGTAGTTATCCTCATAATCACCTTGCAAACTTCAAAGTGATCTGGCCCTCTCAATAAAAGCAGAAATAGATACATCCCTACTGGATGGATGAATTTATTTCCATTTTCTAAAGCTTGAAGGCAAATCTGGGCAAGTCCACTGACTTCACTGAATGTATTACCATGGATAGAAATTTGTTGGCATTTTAAATGTGGGTGGATGTTCCTCCAGGAGTCTGTTATCTATTACTCCCAGAATGGCAGCCTATGAGTTTCTGATTAGTGTAATTGACACAGAGCAGACAACAACAAAACCCCAGAGTGGCTATGCAGCTGCTGTGAAAGGTAAATTCAATGATGGCATTAAACAGATTAATTCATTTAGGATGTATAATTTACAATGGTAATGAGGATTGTCTGGGGACTGCTATCGTATCATCCATCAACACTTTCAATCTTAAGGCTAGTAATCTGTTAGCAATTTCAATATTGTTTATCCAACTGATATATATATTTTCTCCCTCTTCCTTGCAGGTTGGCCCACACTCTCAAGATGTCTAGCCAGTGGTTTACTTGGTTCAGCTAGTAGTACAGTGGTGCCTTGCAAGACGAAATTAATTCGTTCCGCGAGTTTTTTTTGTCTAGCGAATTTTTCGTCTTGCGAAGCACGGTGTCGGAAAAGTTTTGGAAAAGCTTCAAAAATCACCAAAAACCTCAAAAAAGGCTACCACACCGCGTTCTATGAGTTGCTCCTCGAAGTCAAGTCGCAACTGTATTAACGGTGTTAAGAAAAAGGAAACAAAATTGCAAAAAAAGCAAGCCCATAGGGAAATTCGTCTTGCGAAGCAAGCCCATAGGGAAATTCGTCTTGCGAAGCAGCTCAAAAACCGCAAAACCCTTTTGTCTAGCGAGTTTTTCGTCTTGCGAGGCATTCGTCTTGCGGGGCACCACTGTACCATGCTCTGCCAGGTAACCAGAATCAATACCTGAAGGTCTGGCAAACTCCCCATTCATCATTCCTAATTTGTTCCATCCTGGGCCCCTAAGATTCTACCCAGACTCCTGTCCTGTTTTCTAGGTTCTTCTGGGCTCTGCTTATGACCAGCCAGATTTCTGTCTTCCATTAATGGCATTTATGCTAGGATACAGAACCCTTGATTCTCTGACCCAACCCAACGGTGAGATTATACTCCTTCCATCTTATGTGCAAGGCAACTGACCACGACAACAGAGAAGGTTTCTGCAGCTACTGGTTGGGGCCAGGATGGCATCCCCTTTAATGACACGCTCTTCCTGGGAGGAAGACGGTATGGCCTCCCCAAATCCCTTGGCTCAGATACTCTTTCCTCTTTCCTTCTCTCCTTCACAACCACTGGCTACTAAGCAGCTCCAATAGGATTCCCCCGCCCCCCTCAAGTAGTCAGCTTTCACATCCTATTTTGCTTCTTTTATTCTGACCTAGTCCCAGCTTTGTCAAGTAATAGTTTTGCAGCCTTCCAAAATCAGTCAGATTTTGGCATTCTTGCCCGTTTGTTCTACAGCTGAATGCAGTCTGCTGAGAAGGCTCAGCTCCTGGTTTTGGCAAGCTTTGCTTCTTGTTTTCTGCACTCTTTGCATTCTTTGTGCAGATGTGTAGTTCAAGCTGAAAAGCAAAGGTAGCAAGATAGTAACGTGAAAGTGGATGATAGGATGAAAAGACATCTCTCCAGCCTCTGCACCAAGTAGCAGTTTCCTGAAGCATATAGTGGGATTATCTTTATTTGCACTTACCGCTGTGAATGCTGTTCTTTCTGACAGCTATGTAGCCTGGCTGCCCAAGAACTTTTAACTCACCTCTTGTAGCAGTGAACTTCATATTACATGCTGCTTCAAGTTGTCATTTCCTCAGTCAGCTGATCAGCAGTGCCTGCAACCCCTGAGCTCCATCTTGTACAGCGTATCACTTGCAGGGCACATGGTCATGGCTTTGCTGAAAAAACCTTGTGGGCCAAGTGGGAGATTCTCCATGCCCACAATAATTTAAATAAACTGTGGTTTAATGTGTACAAGCAGTATACTAGTGCACATTACTGAAATCACAGGTGCTATCTATTACTTTTTGTAATAGATTAAGCAGTGCTTTTTTCCTGGGGGGACACAGGGGTACGCATACCCCTAAACATTTTGTGAATCTAATTTGGCCTCATTGAGGCACAGTATTTCAATCTGAGTAGGAAAATGAGAGTACCCCTAAGTATTTTTTTAAGAAAAAAAGCACTGAGATTAAGACATGCAGTGGAAAAGGTTTGATTAAAAACACTGTGGAGGTGAGGATGGGAAGTCAACTTATGAAACAATGTAATTATTTGATAGGAAGAATATTGGGGAAATGCTTGAAAATTTTAATGAAAAAAATTGCAAAATTATATAAATCAGCTTTCAGGTTACTGGCACACGATTAGGAAAACACGTGGATTTTCTCTGCTGCAGTTGATCTGCACCCAAAGAGGAAGGTCTTTGCAGGCTTGGGGGAATCCCAGGTTGTGCAGAAGTGCAAATTTAAGGTGAGTGGGTGGAACTGATTGACAGGCAGGCTGGAAACCTGAACCAAAGCAACACCGGCCAGACTGAGTAAGAGTATCGAGCTGGGCTCTGGATCTGTGAAGTCCAGTGTGACATATTTGTGCATCTGTGCTTTCCGAAGGATGACTCAGGGACCTAGACCCAGTGCTCTTCTCCTACACATGTATTTCAGAGCACTATCTTTATCTTAGAATGCAGACTAAGTGGGAGAGGGTGACATGCACTTTTATCTCCTTGGAAAGCAAAAGCTGAGTATGAGAAGAACCAGCAGCCGCATGACTGGCTGCATACCTAGTTAAAAGTCACGAGCTATGAAAAGTGGGCCATCTGGACCGTGGAACGTGGATGTCTGCAGCACTTCACAAACCAGTTTAGGTGGAAACTGTTAGTTATTAAAAAATAATATTCTAAAAATCCAGCCATTGTATTAGCAATGCAAATTGGCCTTAAACTTTCTAAATAGAATATTAAACGGTAACTGCACAGTCAAAAGAGTATTTATTAGTAGTGACAGTGTTATAAATCACAATCCACACAGAAGGCAAGCTACAAAATCCTGCCATGCTTAATGAGAGGTTGAATTAAGAGGAAGTGAAGTTACCTTGCCTTATCGAAGTGGGAGGCTGCATGCCCTTTTGATGTTCTCCTTTTGGTCCACACAGAAAAGGTTTTCACCTTAGCCTAATTAACTTTTTTATCATTAGAAGTTAGAAATATTGAATTGTGTCAGACATAGGTCAGTGTAATGATAATTTAATGGATATGTATTACTCTGCAAGTAAAGCTTTGAATATGTGCTATATGCATCACATTACCATTGACCTATGCAAATTTCCATCCTGGCGCCTTTCATTCTTTGCCGCTGCTGCATTAATGCCTCTTCTCTTCCCTCTCATCTCTTTAAACAATGATTTCCTCATTTTCATATTAATTGCATCAGTTAACCGAGATAATGCTCTGACTGAAAATGAGCAGCAGGATAAATTGGGGAAATGGCACACTCATTCTTTTTGCTCAATCAATTTCACAAGACCCACAAAACGACGCCTTAATTTGACTTCCTATAATTGCTGATCATTAGGCACAGGATCCCTGTGAAACACCTTTGTTTATTCCCGTCTCAGCGCTGATTGATGGAGTCACAGTCACCTATCGGAGGGACACAGATTTTTCTGCCACTAGGCAGCCGGCTTTGCAGATACCCTGGAGAACTTCAAAACAAGCAAATGCAAATAAAACCACTTTGGCTAATGGCGCCCAGGAGTTCCTGTACAGCAAGCATGATGTCACAAAATGCTCTGTACCTCCCAAATTTCACATCTGAAAGGCACAGGCAGCCATGTTTCTCCCCCCGCCCCCAATGATTTTTAACTAGTCACACTATTATTGTGTATCTACATATTTTGTAATTTGCATGTACACATAGATATATTGAGGTCCCATACTGAGAAACCATCTATGAGACTCAGAATGGAGATAGATATCAATTTCAATTTTTAAAATGTTCATGCTTGATATTTAGTCAGAATAATACAATGATTATGTTTTATGTTTTTAAGGCAAAAGCAGGAAGTTATTTACAGAATAAATTCCTTTTGGATTGTGGTGTGTGTGTGTGAAAACCTGGGAGAAAGGGTTACTGTACAATGGTGAAGCAGTGTGCATAAATTAGAGAGAGAGAGAGAGAGAGAGAAAAAAAAGAATTTGCATATGTGAGGCCCTAAATTCAGCCTAAAGCAACTCCAGCACTAAACACTTTAGCTGTACCTTGTTGCAGGAAAATTCCATCACTAGATAAGGCTGCCAACTTTAACCATAGGAGAGAACCTTTCCAATTGGTCATCTGCATAATTACGTGATTTGAGGCAAACAAAGAAACAGGCAGAATGTATTATTTTAAATGTATTTGCTAATTTCTCCCTCTGAACTTTCCTCTGTAAGCTTTAGTATTACATGCAAATTACATGCTTTTATTTCTCTCTTTCTCTCTGCTTTGCTCAAGCCACAGCAAAACTTTGAGGAGGAAGGGCATGCAAGGAAGGTTTTAATAAGGGAAAGCTTTTCATACCTCACACTCTCTTCTAAAGTATTGATAAAACATCAAAGATGAACATTTTTTAAAAATATGAAATGAGTTGAGAAGTTATCTCTGGCCTCCTAATACACTTTAAAAAGCATTTTGTGTGTGTGTGTGTTCGAATATGGAAAATTGCAAAGGGGCCCCACAAGGAAACCAGGAGTGTGTGTTGTTTTGTGCAGTGAAATGACTGTGGGCTAGGGCCAGCCCATCCATGAGGCAAGGTGAGATGGCCACTTCAGGTGGCAGGATCCACAGGGACAGCAGATCCGGCCTCCAGGGAAGGCTTTGCCTGCTGCCGCAATGGCAACAACCACAGCAGTGCCCTACTGGTCTCCTCTCACCCTTGTTCTCGATGGAGATGTTTGTTCCCCTCTTGTTCCTGATGTGGATCTTCACTCACATTTGTTCCCTGGCCAGAGGGCTGGGTGCCAGTTTGTGATTTGCCTCAGGTGCCAAAATGTCTCAGGCTGGCCCTGCTGTGGCTCAGTCTTAAACACAGTGGCCCAATTAAGCTAAAGTTAATCATGACTAAAACCAGGGGCAGACTTGGGTCTTTCAAATTTCAGCGGCACTCTGTGCGAACCCAAAATTTGGCACCCCTCTGCCTTTTGCCTTCTGCTGCCTCAATATTTGCACCAGCCTATGGCACCCACTAGGCTCAGTGCCCAGTATAGGGGAACTGGTCGCACTGCCCTAAATCCACCTCTGCTAAAAACAGATTGCTTTCAATGAATGGGTAAGTTATCTGAGACTTAACCTGTTTCATGGGTTTCTATGGGTTTAAATCATGACTTACTTCAACTGGAAGTAAAAAAAATAAATTAGTTGGATTTAGACCAAATTAGTTGAACTTAGGTCCTAGTGAAATCAATGGGGCAGGTTTGTAATGTCTCATTGGAAGGTATTCAACAAATTTTTACTCAGAGCAGACCCATTGAAATGAATGGACCTAACTTTCCTGTTGATTAATTTAAATGGGTCTACTCTGTGTAAAAGGGAAGCGGGTGGCGCTGTGGATTAAACCACAGAGCCTTGGGCTTGCCGATCAGAAGGACAGCAGTTCGAATCCCCGCGACGGGGTGAGCTCCTGTTGCTTGGTCCCTGCTCCTGCCAACCTAGCAGTTCAAAAGCACGTCAAAGTGTAAGTAGATAAATAGGTACCGCTCCGGCGGGAAGGTAAACGGCGTTTCCATGCGTTGCTCTGGTTCGCCAGAAGCGGCTTAGTCATGCTGGCCACATGATCCAGAAGCTGTACGCCGGCTCCCTCGGCCAATAAAGCGAGATGAGCGCTGCAACCCCAGAGTTGGTCACAACTGGACCTAATGGTCAGGGGTCCCTTTACCTTTACTCTGTGTAAAAATTAGTTGAATACCACCAATTGATTCCAAAGGCAATTAAATTCAACTAGTATTCGGGATACAACACATTGATTGATCTAATGCCACAAAGTGCATTGCATCCAAAGAACTGAATGAATTGAAAATAACTGCTAGCAACTGTATTGTAATTGCTTGCACAAACTAGTGGACTAAAGGCTCGTTCACACTTCCACTTGTCCCGCGCGATGGGGGCTGGCCCATGCCCTTGCTCCACCCCAAAGTGCCGCCCCCAATTGGACAGCTCCCTTGGTCCTGCCAGGGGTGGCCCCGACCCCAGAGGAGGGGGTCTTTACAGAGCTGCCCCAGCAACTGGTGCAGCCTAGCTGGGGCAGCAGATGTTTCCAATGCTGCCTGTCCACCCAGGGTCGTGGTCCCTGCCATACTTGCACAGCTGCAGGCAGGTCCTGCTCTGAGTGATACATCAGTCAATTCTTACAGCAGGTCTCTGAAAAGAACAGCTGTAACTTTGAAGACAGCATGAAACACTCCACCCCTTCCTTAAACTTCCTTAAAAACTTCCTTAAAAACTGTACACAAATAGGGCATTCCTTACTTAGGAGTCATTGACATACCTTTCACAAATGCCGCAGTCCAGATTTACCACACAGTAATAGATTAGTAGACTGTACCAACACTTTCATTTGCTGTTCTAATAATTTATGAAATTGTGCTGGATCCTGCTTGCAACATTTCAATCAGGCTTTCTCACACTACGTTGAAGTTTGATTGAGCGGTTATTATAGGTGCAACTGGAATTTCAAGGTGAAGGGGAGGCAATGAGGGGGAAAGAATTGTGCAGATATGCTTGTTTGTAGACATTTTGGAATAAAACAAGCAACCATATGGTAGCTGAGCTATAAAGCAAACTGCTAGGCTGGTACAGCAATTACAGAATGCACCAATGAGGCTGTTGCTTGGAGTGTATTACACCATTGCTGTACCAGCTGCACTGACTCCTGGTTCATTTCTGAGCAACATTTGAGGAGATGGCTACTTGTAAAGCCTAAAATGGCTTAAGGATCCTTAAAGGAATGGATCCTACCAAATGAGATCGCAGCATCCCAAAACATGTGTTTTTGGATGCCATGTGCTTGCGTGGGTCACATGACTCACACAGGAGCGCGCTCCAGAAGACACGTGGCCTGGTTTTGCACTGGGACATGTTGGAGGGTACGGTGGCACCACTCGCATAACAAAAACTACCACAGAGATATCAAAGTTTCCAAAAGCAGGGGGTCTGAGCAAGCTCATTCTCGTTTCTGCCACGCACCCCAGGGTTCTTTTTCTCAGCTAACACCTCAACATTTCATAAACTCCTGGAAACTCAAAGGTTCTTCTGGTTTTCAGACATTATGTTCTTTTACTTTACAAAGTTGCATACTTCTAAACATCTAGGGAGTTCCTTGAGTATGGAGGAACATCTAACTGTCTTTTTGGGGTGTCCATTTTTTGGTGCCAAACTGGCACTCTTATCAGTCAGATTCACTATTAGAAGGAATTGTAGCTTTTGACAGATTTATCTTTCATGAATTAGTATAACCTTTTAAAACGAAGCAATCTAACCTTGTAGTGGAAATCCAATTCTGCATTCTTATGAAAAATGATAATAGTTTAATGCTTTTATTTTGATAATTGCGTTTCACCACTCTACAGAGGGTCAGCATGATTATATAAACCATTATATATAATGCTACTTTAAATCTCACATCACCAGCAGCAGGGAGGTCATTGTCAGTCCCCTTCACACAGGCAAAGCTAACCTTTTGCTTATATTCTTTCCGACAAATTTATTACTGACAGAAATGGGTCATCAGCACAAGGAAAATTTATTCATAGGCATCACGACCAAATCCTACAGCGGGTTTTACTGTGGTTGTGGTTGTTTTTAATGAACAGCTATGCATATTCCTCCTCACTTGAGAAAAAAGTCCTCTTAATCTTACTTTCTGCTCCTTGTTGTTTAACCAGTACTAATTCATGAGAGGGCTTGTCCTTTTATCCTAGACACTTACTCAGGAGACCTTGGTGACAGCCCTTGCCCCAAACCTTTCAGAAGCCCCAGTATATAATACACAGTGATTCACCCCTATCTCCACTTGTTGACACAGTCAATTCCAAAAGTCTGGCGAGGCAGAGCAAGGCTTAGAATTATAGAATCATAGAATGGTCGAGTTGGAAGGGACCCTGAGGGTCATCTAGTCCAGCCCCTGCAATGCAGGAATCTCAACTAAAGGATTCAAGACAGATGCCACCCAACCTCTGGTGAAAGACCTCATTCTTAATAAACTTTTAATATTGCTTTACCACCAAGTAGATGTTAGTGTAACTGGCTTGTAATTCCTTGGTTCTCTTTGGGATCACGCAAAATCCAAAACTAATTGCACAGATACTCTATAATCCATTTAAGGATAATATATTCTCACTGGGACGTGGGTTAAACCACAGAGCCTAGGGCTTGCCGATCGGAAAGTTGGCAGTTCGAATCCCCGCAACAGTGTGAGCTCCCGTTGCTCGGTCCCTGCTCCTGCCAACCTAGCAGTTTGAAAGCATGCAGTGCAAGTAGATACATAGGTACTGCTCCGACGGGAAGGTAAACTGCGTTTCCAGGTGCTGCTCTGGTTTCGCCAGAAGCGGCTTAGTCATGCTGGCCACATGACCCGGAAGCTGTACGCCGGCTCCCTTGGCCGATAAAATGAGATGAGTGCCGCAACGCCAGAGTCGGCCACGACTGGACCTAACAGTCAGGGGTCCCTTTACCTTTTATTCTCACTGCCAGGGCCCAACCTAGCAACAAAAATACTTCAGTTTAATCCCACTTCCAGCTATTCAAGGGCCAAATGATATGTGCCATTAAACACGTGATTTATCATCACACGTATCTTTTTCAAATTCCAGACAGCTGCCAGAGCTAATTGATAACCTATCCAGAATCAGGACTTCAGCAGAATACAATCCTCCCATGCCGTTGTTCTGATGAAAACCACCCCTCTAAACCTCAAGGGGGGGGGGATTCCTATTGATATCAGTGGTCTGCCTGGCCAGTCTGTCTTTTGGCATTATCAACTAAAAACAATGCAAGGCAAAATCAATCAACCCATCTGCATTGCATCTTCCTCTCACTAATTAACATGGCGCACAAGCTATCATGAAGCTCTCCTGGGGAAGCCAATTTGAAATGAGCTGCACAACAGCAAACAGTGCACCAGATTCCTTTGTCCCTTTTGCTCTTAATGGTATCTAAAACCTGCCACAGGAGATGGTAAGCTGACCTTGCCTTATAGATCTTGCCATGCTAAGAAACGACCAGATTCTTAGCATTTTGTGCATTTAAAATGTGCTCCGTTTACAAAACTAAGCTCAGGTGACAAAATTACCCACACAACAAAAATGTAAATCCACACCAGGGGTTCAAAAAGAGGAGAGAGAATCATGATGAGAAGGAAGCACTTTGTTATTTTACTGCTAATCATCATACATATTGATGCAGAAAGAGAAGGTAATATGAGAACCAGGCATGAAGCCTGCTGACAGAACACAAGGCATTGTTGACTAAGTGCCAGTTCATGTCTTGTGATACTGAACACTGAGGTTTCTATTCAGTCATGTTGATTGAAGGCTGTGGGGGGAGAACAAGGAAAATCAAGACAGAAGAGATAATGTTTGCAATCAGTACTCTGCAATTGCTATTCTCTACACTCAGCATCCTCAGATGAGAAATTAATTTCCATGAATTCCTCTTTTTTGAAAATTGCAGTTTATACATTGCATGGTCAGATGTGATCCTGTAATCCCTCTTAGAGAAAGCAAGGCAAACAGAAACATGCAGAGAGAGATCAGCCTCATCCCAAGCTCATTAGAGTCACTGATTTTGTTTTGTAAAGGGGACTGTTGATTTCCCCCCTGCCACCAGACTACAACATATGCTGCACATTAAACTTATTCCTTCCTGCTCTAGGGGAACTAACACCCTTCCCGGGCAGCAGGGAGTTGTAACATCACTGGAGAGTAAGGGATTAGTCACAGGTGGATGGACTCAGGCCACAGATCTACAGCAGGGGTGGCTAATCTGTGGCCCTCAAGGTCAATCTCTGTCAGAGTGGCCATTAATCAAGGATGGTGAGAGTTGGAGCCCAACAACGTCTGGAAGCCACCCCTGATCTATAGCATATTTGCCCACTGTTTCCCACCATTTCCTGAGCATTTGAAAGAATCGAGGGGGTGCTCATCTAATTTGCAGATGACACCAAACTGGGAGGGGTAGCCAATGCCGCAGAAGACAGAACCGGGATTCCAGATTGGAGAACTGGGCCCAAAGTAACAAAATGGATTTCAATAGGGACAAATGTAAGGTTCTACACTTAGGCAGGAAGAACCAGCAGCACAATATAAGACAAGAGACACCTGGCTTGCCTGTAGCATATTGAAAAAGCATCTAGGGGTCTGGGTGGATCACAAGCTTCACATGAGTCAACAGTGGGATGTAGTAGCAAAAAGAAAAAAGAGAGAGAGAAAAAGAGCTAATGCTATTCTAGGCTGCATCAACAGATGTATAGTGGCCAGATCAAGGGAAGGAATAATGCTGCTCTATTCTGTGGGTGGCGCTGTGGGTTAAACCACAGAACCTAGGGCTTGCCAATCAGAAGGTTGGCGGTTCAAATCCCCGCAATGGGGTGAGCTCCTGTTGCTCAGTCCCTGCTCCTGTCCACCTAGCAGTTCAAAAGCACATCAAGTTCAAGTAGATAAATAGGTACCGCTCCAGCAGGAAGGTAAACGGCATTTCCGTGAGCTGCTCTGGTTCACCAGAAGCAGCTTTGTCATGCTGGCCACATGACCCGGAAGCTGTACGGGTCCCTCGGCCAGTAAAGCGAGATGAGCGCCGCAACCCCAGAGTCGTCTGTGACTGGACCTAATGGTCAGGGGTCCCTTTACCTTTATTCTGCCTTGGTCAAAACTCACGTTGAGTCCTGTGCCCAATTCTGGGCACCCCAATTTAAAAAGGAGATTGACAAGCTGGAACATGTACAGAAGAGGGCAACGAAGATGCTCAAGGGCGGGGGTCAGCAAACTTTTTCAGCAGGGGGCCGGTCCACTGTCCCTCAGACCTTGATGGGGGCCAGACTATATATTTTTTTTGGGGGGGGGGAAATGAATGAATTCCTATGCCCCACAAATAACCCAGAGATGCATTTTAAATAAAAGGACACATTCTACTCATGTAAAAACGCGCTGATTCCCGGAACGTCCGTAGAAGGCGATTGGGCCGGATCAGGTCCCCAGCCTTAGTTTGCCTACCCATGCTCAAGGGTCTGGAAACCAAGCCATATGAGGAACAGTTGAGGGAGTTGGGTAAGTTTAGCCTGGAAAAGAGGCGACATGATAGACATCTTCAAATATCTGAAGGGCTGTCACATAGAAGATGGAGCAAGCTTTTTTTTTATCCTGCTGGGGAGGGGAGGACCTGAATCAATGGCTTCAAGGTACAAGAAAGGAGATTCTGACTAAATATCGGTCAGTACTTTCTGGTGGTAAAAGCTATTTCACAGTGGAATGGGACTCCATTGGAAGGTGATGGACTCTCATTCATTGGGGGTTTTTAAGCAGAGGTTGGATGATGACCCTCAAGGTCCCTTCCAACTCTACAGTTCTATGGTTCTATGCTTAGCTTACACAGGCCAAGAAAGGTAGAGGAGGCTCAGCAACCCTCACATTTGTATTGAGAAAAAACAATTGCTCTGATTCTGAGGACAACTCTTTAGTATAAGAAGTATGTTACTGGGCAACTAATCTGTGCTTTTCTGAGACTGAGGGTATGCCCTTAGTGGTGGTAAAAATGAAAAAGAATTACAACAACAAATAAATGTTTATCATTTCAGCTCTTTTCTGCATTTGTTTATTCCCTCCAAAATGGCCCAAGGCCATTTTAAAAAATCAGATATCAAAAGGATTATTTTTCTTTTTTGCCAGAGCAGAACCATGAGCTGGATTAGTTCTGCTCTTGATGCTTTCATATGTATCCAATTACAGGAAGCTGCTGTACGCCTGACAGCAGTGTCACATCTCATAGAGATAAAATCATTTTAAGGTAGTAAACCAAAGTGGTAACATTAATGATCCCATTAGCGCAAAGCATTAGGACTTAGATATTTCTTAGCCTTCTGCTTTAATCTTCCTGATGCTCCCAAAACTGCTTCTCCTCATGGATTGTTTTCATTTGAAACTTAACCAATCAAAAGATGCTTCTTCGGAAATAATTTCCCACCCTTAAGAGATAGGCTGTTGGACAAAAAGTGCACAAAAATAAATATTTCAAACACTCACAAAAACCCCCAAGTTTTGCTTTTTGTGACTTGGTATTGGAGTATTTTCCTTTCTACTGTGAATCAGAGATACCTCAGGCAATCTGTTCAAAACTGGTGTTACTGATGTATTTGGACAGTAGTACCTCGGGTTACATACGCTTCAGGTTACATACGCTTCAGGTTAAAGACTCTGCTAACCCAGAAATAGTACCTCAGGTTAAGAACTTTGCTTCAGGATGAGAACAGAAATCGTGCTTCGGCGGTGCGGTGGCAGCAGGAGGCCCCATTAGCTAAAGTGGTGCTTCAGGTTAAGAACAGTTTCAGGTTAAGACCAGACCTCCAGAATGAATTAAGTACTTAACCCGAGGTACCACTGTATTTGGTTTCAAAAAGTAGTCCTCTTACTATGGCCAACTCTTTAAAGGAGATGTGCACAGAAGATTGCTAGGCCATTAACACTAGCTAACTGGCGTTGAGTCTGTAGCTGAAAAGTAGGGCTGCTTTTGCTGCAGAGCAAAGCCCACTGCCCTCTTGGGCGTGTTCTCTTCTATTTTTTTTTTAAAATCATATTTATTAAAGTTTCCAAAAATATAAAAATACAAAGAAAAAAGACAAAAGAAAAAAGATATTTAAAAACCTTACTTTCATTCCCTACTTTCTGGGACTCCCCCCCCCAAGTGTGTTGCCCGTTCCTTAATTTGGTGCTACAAGCTCTCACGGCCCAGTTAAAGCTTAATTTGTTTGACCCACGATCCCGATTGAATTGTACAAATCTTACCACCGGCCCACATCATTAACAGAAAAAGAAAAAGGTTTTCCCAAGATCCACCCCAGTTCCTTCCACAAATTCCTTTTTTTAAACACGTCCGATCAAAGTAAAATAACATGCGTAAGTTATGTAAAGAAATAGAAAATAAGAGATATAGAAAATTCAAAAATGGTTACACAGCCTTTGGATTTCAAATCTCCCCCTTCCCCGGTTTGAATTCCCATGTCCATCAGTCTATACATTATCAGCTTGGAAGTCTCATTTCATGACCAGATTTCTCCCGATTCCATCTTGCCGGTTTTCTTTTAGTTTATTAATTTAAATAATATTTGACTTCAAATGTCCAATCTAACAAAGGCCTTTAATTTCCTTGATCTTTACCACTCCTCCCGTTGTTCTTTCCGTGTCGTAAACAGTCCTTTATTCTTCTTATTCCTCACTTTCTCCGGTTTCTTGTCCTGTTCAGCTGCTAAAACTTTCTAATTCAGAAATCTAGTGTCTCTGCAGAGGTTTGTTATTCAGGAACAAAAACTTACGTCCAGTCCCTTTCTTTCTTCAATAAAAATTCCATTGTCTTCCTCTGTAGACAAAATACTCTTTCAGTTTTGCAGCTTTCCCAGAAGATAACAAATCCTGTGCGAATCCCAGGGTATTTTTCCACTTACGACCGTTCTTGTAGTATCCCGAAACCCCTCTAGGGGGATTATAATAACTTTGTATCCTCTAATCCAAAAGTCAAATTGTTGCTTATTTTCCAACAGTTTATATCCATATTATAGCAAATTGTAACAAAATTAACCAGCAAGGTCCTCGTAAAGTCCTCTTTATATTCTCCAGCTTTGACAGCCACTTTGACAGCTGTCAAAGTCTCCGTCTCTCTTCACCAGGCTCCACGAATCGCCCCGGTTCCCAGGGGGGGGGGTTGCAGTTTTCTTCTCACCCTCCACTCTTCTCCTCCAGCACATTTCTTATAATTTCCCATCGTGAAATTAATGATTTTTATCAGAGACATACTTCCCTTTGGACCTTGGTTACCCAGTCCTTGTTTTGGAATGCTTACAATAGGGGGATTGACTTCCTTTTTAAATCGCCCCCGCTCGTGCCAAATCCAAAATTTTAAACCCGGTTTCCCAATTACTCACGGGTTGTTGTTAATAGTCCAAATTTTCAATAGAAGAAGTCAGCGCTCTCCGCCGAATGGCATGCGGCTGCGCTCGGCAGGGAAAGCAGTGGACTCAGCACCACGCCACTCCCCGGCACCCGATCCGAAGCCTTTAAAAAGGCTCCTTCACGAGTCGGGAGGGCGCTAATGATGCAAGCCGAGTCACCCATGTCCACGGACTCCGTGCCCGTGGTTTTTAAGGGTCCCCGCGTCGCCGGCGCGGTAGGACCCAGCCCCTGCCGAGCAGACTCCCTCCGGAGCTCGGAGGGAGTCCGCCATTCGGCGATGGCGCTAACCCGGAAGTTGGGCGTGTTCTCTTCTAAAGCCTAGCTCAGAGCTTTCCAAACTGGGTTAGTGTGTTGGTTGCAGTATGTAGGTGTACACAGAACTACATAGTTCTTGGTATCAGTATCATGGTCTAATTAAGTACACAAAAGCTTTGTGTATTGAGAGAGACATTGGCTACAATTTTATTATGCTAACAAGAACTCAAGTGCAAGGAATGAAAGAGGGCTGAGCTTGAAGGAAGTAGAAATTCAGTCTCCAAATCCTTGCAGAAAGTGGAATCTAACTTGGATTCCCTGCTTCCTGCACTGATATCAGAACAAGAAGCCCTTCCAGTGACTCCAATATTCAGAGCTACCTCAGTTCCTTATTTACTGTCCATTTTACTTTACTTTATTTAAGATCAGGCCTCTAGACCACCTTTGGGGGTATGAATTTTGCCGACGTTTTCCAAGCTGTGAGACATGCCTGTGAGAGGGTTTTCGGAGCCCATTACAAAGTTAAATCTCTGATCTGGACCATCAGCATGCTGACAATAAAAAAAGAAGAGATTTGTACAGACAGTGGGAAGAAAATAATTAGCCCAGTCCTGCTGAGTGTAGCTGTTGAGAGAAGATGAAAAGACTGGCACCATAAAAATTTTGGGGTGTGGGAGAAAAGTTGCAGCCTCTTTGGCTTATAAAAACAAAGGAGTGAACTGTCTCAGAATAGGAGCCATTATTATTACCACCTGACAGCTTTGGATCAAGAAATGAAAAGGGAAGAACAACCTTGCATACCTAGATTTTCCACAATATAGCTACTAATTAGTTGCTTAATTCTCCTTTGGTGTCTGTTAGCTGCAGACTGCATACCTGTTGAGGGTTTCCTGTGCTAGTTCCTGTCACAGCATGAAAACGGAAGGGTTTCTTCTCTGCTCACCACTCACACCTAGAGGTGGAACCTGCCTTTCAGTCCTGGGGTAGCTGTGCAGAACTTCCTGCTGGTCTTTTCCAGTTTGCGTTCATGTGAAGTGCTGATGTTCTTTTTCATGACACTGCTAACAAACACTTCTGAAACAGTAGAAAAGAAACAGCTGCCATAAAATTCATAGAGGCATAGAAAATTAAAGAGGAATGGGGCTGCCAGGTTTCTGGTCAACTCCCCTAAACCAGGCGTGGCCAACTTCTGCATTCTGATTTCTTAGTACCCATTTTGTTCTCCGTACCAGGGTTTTCAAGCTCACTTCTGGACGAATGATGTGGTTTACACAATGAGGAGCTCTCCAGGGAATTCTGAGGATCCTTGAATTTGGAAAAAGTTCTTCAACCCCCAACAAAAACAGCTAATGGCCAACAAGCTCCCTGAAAGAACCTTGAGAAGTTAGTGAGTTCCAGCTCCTGTTTTGAGTTCATATGGGGCAGTGATGAGACTCAAGAGACCTGGCTAGTGTCCCTTTTGAACTGAGTATGTAAAGCACCCTGGAACATTTGCATGTCCAACAACATAGTCCTTTAAATAAGTTGGGCGCTTGGAAACTCTGCCAGACCGCCGGGGACTGGTAGCCAAGTCCGGGGGGCCACCCAATTCTTGCTGAGGCTGTGGTGTGATCCTAGGTGGCGTTGAAACCAAGTCCCCTGGATCCGCTGCTGTGGGTGGAACCTCCGCAAGTGGAGTTGGCGGAATGTCAGGCACGGTCTGGCAGAGTTTCCAAGCACCCATACAGTACATGTATTTTTTAAAAAACTGCAAGTATGTACAGTGGAACAACTGTGCTATCTTGACATAATAATAATAGTAATAGTAATTTATTTTTACCCTGCCCATCTGACTGGGTTGCCCCAGCCACTCTAGGTGGTTCCCAACAGATATAAAAACATAATAAAACATCAAGCATTAAAAACGTTCCTATATAGGGCTGCCTTGTCTTCTAAAAGTTGTAGTTATTTATCTCATTGACATCTGATGGAAGGGCATTTCATCATGCCTGTCTTCCCTTTAAATTTTTGTTTTGAAACATTTTATTTTCTGCAGTGCATGTCTGTGTATTTTCAAGCTACGGAGTTATAGTTGTTTGCTTGTTTCTAGTGAGTGAAGAATGCAAGGCCAATCTAGCAGCATATATTGACAGTGTTAAGGCAGCGTGGCCTGAGAGTGGGAGTTGTTAAGTGGTGACAGAGGGAATTAATGGATGGGTTTATTATTCTTTACCTCATCTGTGGCATCACATTAGAGAAGCATTCTCTATAATCTGATAATTCAGATCAAATGACTTTATACTGCATTAGATTTTATGGATGTCAGAAGCAGTTAAGGCAATCATATTGCTTCGCACGTTAACCGCCCCCCCCCCCAATTCCTGAATAAGAGGAAGTTTCGAGAAAGCTAATGCTGGCTCCCAGGGCCAGCTTGGCATTTGCTAGTCTTTATATGTTACTCTGAGAAAAGAGAAGGATGGGCTTCTGGAGCAGTTCAGAAGGAGGGCTTGCATTTAAAGGAGCCCTGTTTTTTAGGCCTCTCTTAAAAGACAGGTGACTCTCAGCTCACAGTCTCCAAGTCTTATTACCTGGACGTCCACCCCCTTTCAAATTTTATTTTATTTTTGCCAAGCACGTAAAGCTGATTGCATGCAAGTTAAATGTGCATAAGTTGTGAGCTACTTGTATAGTAATTCTGAAAAAAAAAATCAGTTTGTTCACATCCTTCCTGACTGGAGTGCAGTTCCTCTCAAAGTGACATCAGCAGAAGCATCCTTTAGACTAGAGCAACCAGTAGTTGCTTTTCCTGCTGCACTACCTGAGGAGTCATCAGTTGCGGGTGGCACTGTGGTCTAAACCACTAAGCCTCTTGGGCTTGCCGATCAGAAGGTTGGCGGTTTGAATCCCCATGATGGGGTGAGCTCCTGTTGCTCTGTCCCAGCTCCTGCCAACCTAGCAGTTCGAAAGCACGCAGTGCAAGTAGATAAACAGGTACCGTTGCAGTGGGAAAGTTAATGGCACTTCCGTGTGCTCTGGTTTCCATCACAGTGTTCCCTTCCTTGCACCAGAAGCAGTTTAGTCCTGCCGGTCACATGACTTGGAAAGCTGTCTGTGGACAAACCCCGGCTCCCTCGGCCTGAAAGCGAGATGAACACCACAACCCCATAGTTGCCTTTGACTGGACTTAACCATCCAGGGGTCCTTTACCTTTTCCTCATTAGAACAGCACAGTGAAGAAACCAAAGATAATATTTGCCAGTTGCTGCAGAAATTCAGCTGCCAGGGATGGCAGCTTGTGTCAGTGAACTGCAGAGACAGCAGAGTATTCTATGAAAGAGTATTCCCTCCTTGGATGAAAGAACCTGTAACCTACGTGGGAGAGGTTTTGTGTAAACCATTGGCTTAAATTAGTGCTTTCTGGTTGGATTGGGCTCTGTTAGTTCTCTTCCAATTCTAGCTGCTGGGGGCAGCTTTTCCTTCAGCCTAGTTATGTTGCAATAAAGGAAGGTTGTGTTCAAACCATGTATTGCTTCTTCCTCAAACCCCACAGCAGCAACGAACCGAGTCCCAACTGCACTGATGCGCAGCTCAGAAGGTAACCTCTATTTCCAGCATTTCCACCTCAAAATATGGGAGTCACATGTGCAGTAGGAAAGACACCTTCCCCTGGGTTGTGGGAACAGGGGGAAGGAAAATATTCCTCACCTCCTCCTCAGGGAGGCACGAGAGAATATATTGTCAAATGATATTCTTCCTAACTTGCGTTAGCAAGTTCTATATCTAAGCAGAGTCTAAACATTCCCTTTTAAAGGCACAGCGGTTTGCTTGTTGCAGGCTAGTTTTAGCCTCTAAATATAGGATTCCTGGTAAGATCCCTTCTTGTCCCTCTTAAAAAGAATAAACATGACAATCTTATTAAAGTCAATATAAAAGTAGTTTACTCACATTCATTCAGTTCACAGTTGGATCCCTGAAGGCAGACTGAGATTACAAAAGTATATACACATGTGGAACTATCCCATAAGGGAGTTTGTTCCTAAGTGACTGCGAACAAGCAGTCACTTCTCCTCACACATAGAAAAACAAAATGGAGAAGAGCCGAAAGAGAAAGAGAGGTGTGTTCCCTGTCCTGCTCTTGTTCCCTGGGCAGAGAGAGGGCCAGATTAGACCACGCTCACCTCTAGTCCCATGCAGAGGAAGTCTGTCCCCGCTAAGGAGGAAACAGGAAGTTTTCTCCTGGCTGGTACAAAGCATCCCCTAGCATGTCCACTCTAGGAATGTTGTACTTGACTGCTATGTTCCTTCCAGTAGCACCTTAGAGACCAACTAAGTTTGTTATTGGTATGAGCTTTCGTGCACACGAAAGCTCATACCAATAACAAACTAAAGGTAAAGGGACCCCTGACCATTAGGTCCAGTCGTGGAAGACTCTGGGGTTGCGGCGCTCATCTCGCTTTATTGGCCGAGGGAGCCGGTGTACAGCTTCCGGGTCATGTGGGCCAGCATGACTAAGCCGCTTCTGGAGAACCAGAGCAGCGCACGGAAACACCCTTTACCTTCCCGTCGGAGTGGTACCTATTCATCTACTTGCACTTTTGAGTGCTTTTGAACTGCTAGGCTGGCAGGAGCAGGGACCGAGCAACGGGAGCTCACCCCGTCGCGGGGATTCGAACCGCCTACCATCTGATCAGCAAGTCCTAGGCTCTGTGGTTTAACCCACAGCGCCACCCGCGTCCCTAATAACAAAGTTAGTTGGTCTCTAAAGTGCTACTGGAAGGAATTTTTTTATTTTGACTGCTATGTGTTCCACATCCCACACTCTTCAGGGCCTGGAGACAGTGTTCAGGTTGGAAATGGCTGGACTCTGCTTTGAAAAATAGGCCTGATCCAAACCTCCTTCTCCTGCTAGCTAGGGAAACTTGCTGGGCCTTTCACTAGTATGAAAAATAATTAGGAGTTCCATGTAGTTTTATTCCTGAAGCTTGTTCTCCCTGCGGCCTGACCGGAGGTTCAGACTCCAAGATAAGAAAAACTGCGGGATTTCTTTGGAGAGCTGGCTAGGAAATGTCAGAGAAGAACAACAAAGTGTGGAGGACTTCTTTTGCCATTTGCCGCACGCCATCCATATTGAACCATGCCAGCTGTAATGTGCAACACCTGGAAAATGATTACTGCATCTAAGGGGAGAAAGAAATGACTATTTGATTTCAAAGCGGCTTAAAAAAAAGTTACAGATTTGATGGGGCGGAAGAGGGAGGCACAAAGCAGATTATGTGATACTGTTGTGGGGAAAAAATCATTCTGTAAAATTGAAGTATTGATCTGGTATGTGCTCTGTGCGTGCGTGGGGGCTGTACATCTCCATTCAATCCCACATACAGTGCATGCCAAGAAAGCTAAATTAGAAAAATCATTGTTCTACCATACACAGACATTCAGTGCTGACCTATAAGAAAATTCTCTTGCTTTGCAGAAAGAAGGCACGAGGAACACTTAATGGCGTCTGAGTCCCTATTCTGCCTTTTACGGTTACAGACCCTCCAAGTGTCCCTATTTTCCAGGGACATCCCGAATTTACAGAAGCCGTCTCAGTTTTTGATCTGATGCCAGAAGGTCCTGCTTTTCCTTAGGATGTCCCTATTTTCATTGGAGTTATGTGACCCCAGAACTAAGGAGATAAGTAACTATACAACCTTTAGAAGGCAGCCGAAGGCAGCCCTATATAGTTTTATTATGTTTTTATATGTGTTGCAAGTCACCCAGAGTAGTATTATTATCACCATCATTATTATGGAATAGGATGTCCCTATTTTCATTGGAGGATATGTGGTTACTTAATAAATCTATTGAGTGTGACTGCATAGCAAGGCTTCATTTCTTTTAAATTGTTATTGTCTCATCAAAAATCCATATAAGAGTCCTG